TTATTTCGTACCTATATAATGATTTGCTATAATATTATCTATATATACATGTATCACAGACCACAGTACCTACCTAAAAACACTCAATGAAGAGTCGCACTCTTAATCTATTATTCAGCAAATTCTGGTTCCAACGGTTTCAATAATGAAATTACCTATACGGCTATACCTATAGGTAGTTAGCACATTTCAGGGCCTAAACTGATATTGGAAACCAATTTTGAATATCAGTGAAAACCGTTCAAAACTGAAATCGATATCGACACTGTAAAAAAAATCAAACAAATCAATACTAGTAATCAAAACCGAAAACGTAACTAAAAATAAATATATACATACCGATAACCAAAACCGAAATCAAAATAGGAAAAAATGAATAGGTACCTATATCCGAAATCAAAATTGGAAAAAATAAATACCAATAGCAGAAATCAAAATCGAAATAGGAAAAAATATTTTTGTCACGCCTGCACCGCAAGTTTGGTTTTCGATGACGGTTGAAGCTTTGGTAAGCGACCTTAATCCGTCCAGCTGGCGGTCAAGTGGGAATCCTCATAGTGCCGGGTGGTAAAATGAAAATCCCCAAAAGTGCTGGGTGCACGTGTATCCTCTGCACAACCAGACACTGTAATGTATACCACGGTCCTTACAAAACACACACTTTTGATTACATCTTATATTCATATTATAATACCTCCTTACATGAAACCTAAACATTTTCATTTCATGAAATTGTTTTCTTAGAATAATCTGATTGTTGCATAGATTCCTGCATTGTGCATTACCTTTGCTGTGATCAATGAAAACAGAGGGGAGACCAAAAATAGTATGTGTGGCTCGTGCGGGAAGGCAATTTCAGTCTTGGGCGAAATACGGCCCTCGCCTTGTGCCTGAAATAGCTCACTTCCAGTCCTTGCCATACGATTACTATTTTGGTTTCAAGCTCTGCGATTTTTTATGAATTATCTATAAATTTCACCTGTGTTCTATAGTTGAATAGTTTGGGTTTTATTATTATTAGGTATAATTATTAATTTATATACCTAGTCTATATAGTCTGGGACGTTTGAATCTTCCAAGTACGATTTTAATTGGTTTATCTGGAAACAATATATTATTATTTTTATTTTTATTTTATTGCTTTAAATTTCAATATACTACACTTGGCAAGGGCGTCAGCAGGCATTTGTCAAGGGGAGGGCAAAATATTTTCATTTTTACATTTTTTGTCTCGATATTCTATTAGTTATAAAGTATATTTGTGACATGATTTCTTTCATATAGACATGAAATGTAAAAATACTTATGAATTATACGTAGATAGGTAGTTAAAACTTAATCTTACAGAATTAATTTTAATTAATTGTTATGTAATTTTAAATAATCAAATACATTTTTTTTTATAAATAAAATGTTACCTTTGATTTTATAATTTTAGGTAATTTATAAAACTAAATATTTCTTGCTTATGCAGTCTACCACAAACTTGAAAAGTTTAAACTATTGTAGGTATGCCATCTATGAACATTTAATTTTGTTATCAAAAAAGTAAAAACTTGGTTGACACTGCAGTATTACACTTGGTCCCACCACTACATCTCATAATCTATAAAAACAATACGTTCTTAGTTCTGAAGTTCATATTTGAGTGTAAATCACTCTGTAAAAAAAAAAAATTTTGTTTTTTTAATTTAAAAAAATTTTATTTTTTGATATTTTATATTACAACGGTAAAGATAGAGGTTGGGATTACCATGCACTTTGCATTGTTTCCAAATCTAGCTACGCCATACTCGTTTTATAACATACCTACATTGAATTTTTTGACGGTTTAAGATTTTAAGGTCATATTTGCATTAAAGATTTTTGGAGCATTTTGAAGTTTTTTCTAAATTTGAATGTTCAGATTAAATAAATAGTCCAAATGATAAGTTCTGACTGTAAAACTTTTATATACAATCATTTAAAAGTATGGATGTACATTATAATTTATACCAAATTTGTTTAATATCTTTAAAATTAAAATTAAAAAGAAAAATAATTTAGTGCATTATGTAGATTGTTTGGGCATTTTTAAGTTTTTTTAGAACATTAAAATCATCAATAATAGTTATGATAGTCAACCCAGAAAATACCAAGGGGAGACTGCCCCTACCCACTGCAGACGCCCTTGGTTCTTGGTAATAATATGTCATATTGTGGTAGATACCTGTCGTACCTATATGATTATCAGGGTTCGAGACTTAAAGCATTTGCTTATTTTTATGGGTTGACTTAAAATGTAACAGAGTGCTATGGAAGTGTCTGTCGTGTACGACGCGTTCAATTATGAAATTTTAAAGTGTTTTTTGCTTTTTTCAAAAAAATACTTATTTCCAAATTTTTTTGGTTATTTTTGCTTTTTTCACCAGTATTTCTACTTTTTTTATGGTGTTATACTGAAAAGTTGTTGTTGATAGAATTAAAATTAAATCATTTAATTTAATTAATTTTTTTTTTCAACTATTTGTAAATATCGTTTACATTTTAACTTTCAGAAAATCCCTCTGAAAATCTTTAAATGATAATGCAAATTGTATTGAAAGTGAATTTTGATTTTTTTTATAATATAAAGATTTATTTATTTATTTTTTGTTGTTAGAAACTTTTCCTAATCATTATTTTTAGCACAGTTATACAAATTATGTCTATAGTTTTTTTTATGAAATATTTATGCTTAAATATAAGTTTTTTAAATGCTTATTTGAGTGCTTATAATGATTTTTTTATTTTAATGATTTTAAGTGCTATAAAGTCCCGAGACCTGATGATTACCGTACCTAGTCACTTTAATCACAATATTCCTAGAACGTTTTCTCTTTTTAGATGCGTTTTACAGATGTAACATGTACGTGACGTTTGCCAGAAGTCCATATAAATAAAATATTTTTATTTCTAGGTACTCCCGAATATATCCAGATGACCTTTACTATACCGTCTCTCATACAGTCACTGGGGATAACAACACAAACACCCATTTTTAGATTACGAACTTAAACAAATAACACAAATGAGCAACATTTTTGGCCATTCTAAAGTAACCTAATTTAGTTTTTTTTTTAAGTGTTTAAATACTAGAGGGTCCACGAAGTGTAAGCAAATATAGTAGGTATATATGAACTGAATGGTATTCGCATGAAAACATAAAAAAAATCGCATAAATTGATCAATTGTTCTAATTCTTGAAGAAAATGACATCACGAGTGCGATACTGCGATATGTTGTGAGCTGTAATTTATAAGTTATAACTTATAAGTTATAACCTGCAGGGCTAGGATTTATATGCAACAGCATGTTTTTTTTGTGACTTCTGATTTGATTTTCTCTGCAACATTATAAACTAATTTCGGCAAGTGATAAATTCGTTTCACAAGATTTTTGATAAAATAAGCTATATTTGATTTTACATATTTTTACATATTTCAGAATTATTAAATTTTTTTCACATATTTAGACAATTTTACTGTTTTAACGTTCAGGTCCATCGGACGTATTTTTGACTTGGCTTAACGACCGTGGCACTCAACCTGTTATATTTTCAATTATTTCTAGATACGATTTTATCGATTCAAATATCAGATATCTTATCGTAATGTATTACGATTAACAAATTTTTAAACACGTTAAACACGAACGAGCGAACACTGCGATGGGTGTGTAGTTTTTAATGTGACATAGTAGTGTGTGTTTCGTGGACTCGTTTTTTGTTATATTTTACATGGATATTACCAATAGATAATGCCAAAAGTACGATCGTCTACAACTTGCAAAGCAATAAAATATGTTTCTGAATATCCAAATGAACATTTTTACAAAGTGACGGTCACATTTTGTACTGTACCTACTGCTCGTAAAAAATCGATAGCAATTGATTATGTATTATTTTTTTTTTTGATAATACATATTTTGAATTCTTTAACACATATTTATGTACTTATTTTCGTCGTATAAATACATACTTTGGTTATATAAAAACATATAAATCTGAGCCCTAATATAACCTATTGCAGTTGACACTTTGACAGAGTGCCACGAAAAAAATGATCACATTTTAATCAACGGTTGGCACAAAATTCCGAATTCTATTGAACTGCCGAAAATCTGTAGCCTAAATGGCTGTCTGTCTTGGCTTTTGGAGGCGCCCTTATGAATTCATAAAATTGAATATATTATTATATAGATGTATAAAAGTCGCTGTATGATGGTCATCCTAGAAAAAAAGTATCCGGAAATGATGTCTCACTATAGTATTTCTTCGAGTAGAGTCCAAAATTTTAATATTCTATTGATCATAGTGTATTGGATAGTACAGTGATTATCACATAATATTAGTAAATGTTAATATATGCAATATGTATACAATTATATATGGTCACTATTAGTTTTTAGTTTTTGAATGTTCCAGATTTTAAGATTTATGGAGTATATGTTTGTCCGCCACGGCGCCACTTTATTTCCTGGACACTTAATTTGCCAAAAAATGGAACATTCGAATATTCGAAGTTGACGTCATGAACACGTTCCGCGAGGATCACCGCCGAACGGTGTGCGTGCGTGCGAGCGTCGCGTCCGGCTCAAACACCGATACCTCTACCGCCGCCACCGGTACCTCGCCATCACCACTGCTACTCGACGGCGTCGTCCGGTCCCCACCACTCGGAAACCACTACCGTTGCCGCCACCACCACTCCGCACCACCGCTTGACGGCTGACAATGAAAAAACGTAACGAAACCCACCTGAATACTACGAAATAATAAAACCAGACCCATCGTGACCGGGCGCCGCGCGCGCGCGCGCACTCGAACCACAACCGTCGCACAAGGCGACACGATCACACGCTTGTGCGTCCCGTTCCGTTGCCGCCGTCGTCTCTTCTGCATCAGGCCGCGAACGCGTTTCGCCATCGTCCACAGAACCGAAGGCGGCCACTCGCCATGGCGTGATCATGCGGTGGACGCGATGCTCATCAGCAGCCGGTCGTTGAACGGCGGCCGAGGCCGCGTTCTGCTGCGGCTGGCCTTTGCGTTGCTCCTGCAGCTGCACGCTTGCGCTGCCGGCTTGCAGCAGAACGCCGCGCCGACGACCGCAACCACCGAGGATGTGGCCGCGACCACAGCGGTGGTGCACAAGTGTTGCGGCCGCGACGAGATCGTCGTCGTCAACAAGTGCCGGAGTGCCAACGAAACCGGCTCCACGCCGTGGATTCCCGAGTTCAACGCCAGCCACGAAGACGACCCCGCCGCCGGACTTTTGTCTCTGCCGACATCGTCCGTCAGTTATAAGTGAGTGATCGTCATAATAATAATAATGTATAGGTCGCTGGCGCATTATAAGGTTATTATCGTTTTTATAAATTTGTAATGAGTTTTATAATAATTTACATAGGTAACCTCACTAGGTCTTGTATTCAAATTTAACGGCCACTGACTTTTCGAATCGTAGAGATGTAATATTATATAGTGGACGATAAGGTCCGTCTGTTTGTTTCTATTTTTCCCACACAAAAAACCGTTACTAAATCGATAACCCGCTCAACCCTCGGCCACTTTACACCCCATATCGAGAGTCCTCGCCAATTTGCCTATGTGCAGCTCACGCGACGTACCTGTGTACGATAATATTACAATAATATTCGGGAAGCGTTTCCGGCGCGATTTCTGTACTTTACCGGAGTTACCCATAATTCGACGCTACAGGCAATAACAACAATGGTTATGATACCACAGACGGTTCACAGTAAATTGTTTAACATGGTGCATACTATACGTCTATACACTTCGTGTACCAGCTGCTCGGGTCGATAACGCATAATGTCACGAGTATTCATATATCGAGCACACCGCAAACCCATTTAATATATTGTTATTATGTACATCATATTATTATACCTATAGCACTTACACCACTGTTCCGTACCAGAGCACTCGCTCGACGGAACGTGTCGTATAGAATGAGAATTTAACGGTACTACACGTGTGTGTGTGTGTGTGTGTGTAGGTACCTACTTCGGGACCGCATCCGCTGTTCCGGGTGGTAGTATAATAGTAACAATAATAATACGACGAGGCGTAAGTATAATACGAAGATGTGTCGACGCTGTTTGGAAGTATTGTGGTTTTATAGTTTATACTTGATTTAATATTATTATTTTATGAGTGATAATATTATAATATCATCATCGAGTATATTATGCGCAATGATGCAACCGAGTCGAAGGACACGTCGCTGTAGCGTATACGCATACATAATAGTAATTAATATTATTTTGTCGATTCGCTTGTATATATACCTACTATAAGAAATAATAATAATAACAATAATAATAATTTAATACCCGGCACACACGAAGAAAGCCGTCACGACGGCGCTGACAGTGAAACAGTGTTGGTGGAGGGTGGTCGAGGCGAGAGCGACAGGCAACACACACAAACACGACCATTGTCATATTATACATTAGGTGTCGTATATTATTGTACTCCATAATATACGTATTTACGTATAATACTATAATATAATATATATGCAGTGCAAAAGGGTAGCAAGGGAAAAACCAAAGTACCGAACGTTCACGTTTTATGAAGTTCAAAAATAACATATTCATCTCAGTTTTAACCTATTAAATTATCATTAATACTTCTTTGGTTTAATATTGTACCCATCAATTCCTATAGAGTTGTATTTTTATTGTTCCAATTTCATATTTTTTAGTATTCATATTTCATATTTTATTATTTTTTGAAAATATGACATAACGATATATTCCATTAGTAACTATTTCATCACTAAACATAATTTATATTTTCTTCTATCATATATATTACACTTTTGTGTATGAAGACCGTAATTGGATAATTATATAATACCTAGTAGGTATTATTTATAGTACCTTCACCCCTTATTGACACATCAATTATCCGTTTCATTTATTTGTTGTTGTTATGTATTTATTACATTATTATCATAGAATTTATCGCTAGTCTTAACTATATGTGTTTGCGATTTGCATTGTAGTTATTTTATGCACATACATTATACAACAATTTATTTTCGAACGTTTTCTATATTATATATTGGCTTCCGTGTCGTTGTCAAAAATGCTTTTTACATTCGAATGACTCACTACACAATAATAATAATAATATGATAATACGATGTTCGTCATCCGACAGTCATCGGAAACAGGAATATTACCATATAGTACATACCCACACGTGTTTGTTTTTTTAAATCCAGTGGGCCTACACCAACAACGATGACGATTAACGACCCGACTTCAGGTTACAAATTCACACAACTACACACAAATTTAGTATAGTAGATATCTGTATTTCTTTTTGTCGCCTGGAACCGGAACTTAAAATTTTTTTTAAACATTTTTCCACCTGTACTTTAATTATTGCAGTCAGGAGTGACAAGGGGTGCGGGGACTCGGTCCTCTGCATCAGCTGACAGCTCTTATAAGCGCTCACTTAAATATTTTGACCAAAAAGTACGCTGTAAAGCTTGGAAGCATGTAAGCCCGTTAAGGTAAAAAGTTGCCGAATGAAAATATTAGTGGTGGGTTGCATAAACAGTCATTAAACATTTAATGAATCAATAACTAATGAGCAATGGTCACTTAAACATGATTCAGTGGTCCATAATTGGTCCATTAAATTAATGCAATTTTTTATGCAACCCGCCACAGGTATATGGAAAACAAACTTTCATTTTTATTAAATTGTATTTTAGGCTTTCATTATAATCTCTGTAGCCTTGTAATAATTATCATAGGGTAATTTTTTCCGGTGAGGTATTATATATGTTTAGATCTTGATGACACCTGATACTTTATAAAACCGTTATCATTCTTAGAGAAAACAAAACAAGTAAATAATACAAACATAAAAAATGTAACATTTAAAAATTAGGTAAACATCATTGTTCTCATTATTTTAATTGTGTTCAACAAAAGTGTAGTGTTAATGCTTGACTTTCAATAAATTTAGAAGGTTGTTTTGTTTTAAAATGTCCCTCTGCGTAAGTTATAGAAATTAAATTATTTTTAAAGATATTATAACCTGTATAAAATATAATGTTCGATAGGAATACATTTATAATATTATTGATCATAATTTATTAACATAGAATAGGTACAATGGCCATTAATATTTTTGTAAAAAGTAATATGTGCACCATTCATGTATACTATTCTACATATATTTAATTAATAGGTCATTAGTCATTTGTTTGGATTTCTGTGTCTGCAAAGATTATAATACTTGAAAGGTGTGTTTATTTATCATAATATATTGCTTTCTTGGTTTCTCGATCTGCTTTTTCTTTATGTTCCTGTGGCCGGATACCACACGTAATTGATATTTATTTCCATATTTTGTGTTTCAAATGTTTTTTCCTGAATAACTCTGGCGATGGCAGTTATGGTCTGTGTATTTCTTTTAAACTTTACTGAGTGAGCTGGTGAGGATCGTATAATATTGTAAGACTCAATTATTTAATACTTCAAAATTAAAATATAATGTACTCAGTGTAGGTAAATCCTGCGATATTCATGGGCACAGTGTAATATAAAATTATGGGCCAATACATGAGTATAATACTATGCATGTACATTACTTACTATAAATATGTACCACATGGCACGTTCAAAATCACTCTTAACTCATAGCCCCACAACCTAAGTTGAACCCTGTCAAACTTTAAGCCATGTCAATAACCGTCGTTAACACGAATCGCAGACAATCGCATAAGTATACAACCATAATGTACATAGGGTTTTTGCGGAGATTATGCGCCGCTTCCTACTTGCTAGGTGCCCACCCCCTAAAATCCGTGTACCATGTACCTACCAGAGCACTGAAGTCGATCAATATTGATTATTGGGTCAGCTGTCCTCGGCGGGGGTGGTGGTGGCAGTGACGACCAAAAGTCAATAAAAAATATATATTATATATTATATTATATAATAATAATAATAATAATAATAATAATAATACGATTCACTCGAGTGAATTCGACATTTTTTACCAAACTGCACACCGAGTCGAGGGATTAATACAAGTATCGTTACTCAGGGTGAATATGTTTTTAGGACCCCTTCCGCTAAGCTCGTGTAGTCATATACAGATTTACTTTGACAGACATTGATTTTAATCTAAAAAAAACGAAAATATGATACATTTCGCACTTAAAATGACTTCGACTTTGAGCTGTTGATGTGATGTATGGGTGGAGGATTTTTATGTAGCCATGTAGGTATACTTAAACCGCGGTATTGAAAACCGTTTCAGCACATTTTTCCAAAACGTGTGAATAATAATTGAAATAAAACGTTATTTCACTAACATAGATAGATGATATATTATAGATAGATATGGTAAATAGGTCTGAATATTTTATTACTTTTACAATAATATGTTATACAGTTTGAGCTCATATGATTTCCCAATTTCGCACATTTTGCAGCTTATTCGTTCCTTTTGTCTAAGAACCACCCTAATAATAATAATAATTGGCCATGCGACTTTGCGAGTTGCAAACGTAATGACGATTATACCTCGCCTGCAATAACCGTCGTCGTCGTCGTCGTCGTCGTCGTGCTGTGAGTTTTTTTATTCGTCTCATTTATTTTATGTATAATATTATTATACAGACGTATAATATGCGATTGCGTTTACGGGCATTGCGAACCGACATTCCGGTAACCGGTTTTCAAAAACGTTTGCCGATTCGCATTGTTTTGCTGTTTTTTTTCGTACTCTCAGCATCCCGTGAATATTATACTGTATATAGGTACGCGACAGATTGCCATTTTGCCAGACGGTTAACCATAATACTGCGTTGCCCGCAGCGCCACGACTAGGTAATGACTATTATGGTGTCCTGCAGACATTAATGTTAGTTAAAAAAAATTATGATGCATTCGTCCTCCTCGAAGGGTTCCGCCTTAATATTATGCTCTATTTGGACTCTTAAAATATGCAAAACAGTGGTGCTTTTTGTACAAATATTCCAATAATTATACTCTCAAATGGTCAATGTTCAAAAATTATTCGTTCTACGCTATAGAAATAATGCGGAGTATGGATTGTAACGACCAGTCCACATTTCTTACTTCATCATAGATTTATAAGATTAAGAATATTTTCACTAAATTTCACATAATATTATAATATTTATAAACAATTATTTTTCCTGAATAAAAAGTATTGAATTGATTTATTTTAGTTTTGTAATTGGATATATTTATATACAAATGATAGCGAATATACTCTTTTGGTGTTTAT